TTACGCAACATTTAATTCAACGAAGTTGAGATGTTTACTTCATGATATTTGTAAAAACAAAATATATTTATCTATGCAGCCAAATCAAAAGAAGCAATCCGCGGTACGATAAAAAATGAAAGAAAAAAACTGAAAAATGTTATAAAAATATTTTTACTGAGTTAGATTACTGCTGACCTCTCCACTATAATTTGGCACTAAAATGGAAGATGGTTTAGTGAAACATTTCGGGTTTTTTTTTTTTTTGTTATATTATTTTTATTATTAGGCGATTGAAACAATCACACACTCACATTTAATATGGAGTTGAAACATGTGACTATGTTGGCCAATTCTAAAAGTTTTCACGTACAATTTTTAAAAATAATGATGACATGATCCCCCCCTACCTTTTGCTTGCGATTGTATAATGATACTATATCACTTTTTTTTCTTATTTATATAAAATCAGAATTTGTAAAAGAAAAAAATATAGGGGAAAAGGCTTTACAGATGACCGGTAAAAAAAAAACTTGGATAAAGTCGAGACTGTACACATAAAAATATTTTCTGTATTTAGCCAAGTTTAATTTTGTCACTAATAGACGTTAACTCTTTAATTCCTGATAAAATAGAAAAAGAAATTTTACTTGGAAATAAGATAGATAATGAAGGTATACGTGGAAAGCTGTCTGCTCTCGGTTGTTGCATGATGCATGTACAAATATATTTTTTGAAATACCAAGTATCAATTAAGCAAGAAATCAAACAGATGTTTTACATGTAATCTTCATGTACGTAAAGACATTAGTACTTTAAGTAATATATACATTGAATCTATGGTTACAGTCATTTAAAAACAGAAAACTGACTGAAAAGAAAATGTTTTTCTAATAAATTATAATGAAGAATCAAATAGAGGAAATATTTCTAAATTTACGATAAAAAACCGACCTCGATTGAAATAAAACCGATCCCGATCATAAATAATGCAAAATTAATAAATTTATCAAACTAAAGGCACCTGCCACCTATATAACATTTAAAAAAAATAAATAAAGAATTTTTTTAACAACATTGCAAGAAAAGAACCAAATTTAATGAAATAGGTGTAGTATTTTCTTCTTTATATAATTCCGATCGGGATCGGTTTAATTTGGGAAAAATCATAGATAATAGGTATATTTGACTCCTTTTATTTCTCTCATTGTACCTGTTCCCACCAATTTTATTAAGTGACTCAAAAAGTTTGTACTTTGTATTCATAATAACATGAGGAAAAAATACTGTCATAATAATGTATTGGATTTTATAACGTATCGAAAATTGGATACTGAATTCAAAAAGTAACTTGTAAAACTCAATTTTGGACCACATGTTTTTATATAAAGAAATATAATTTGGAGTCTTATTCATTATAAAATAAAAGATAAGAGTCTATGCTATAAATAATATTGATTGACACACGCAGCTTTTGAGTATCTGTTACATATAAAACAAAACAAGAAACATATATTGACGCAAGCGTCAAAAATCGGCCGCAAACCAATTAATTATTCCATTGATAAAGTAATTAGAAAATGAAATTTGCGTGACCTGTTTTAAAAATTTCTTATATTTATCTATTTAAATATCCTCGTGACATGAAACACTTGCATGCGACATTGCCGATTCTCTTCATGCATAATGCATGTACATGTACAACATTATATGTATAAGCAAACGGTCCATAGACCTCTGCGTCTCTGCACTCAGTTTGGTACATAAATTGTAAATGAACTGCTCTGGTGGAAGTTTCATGTTTATATAGTTTTTACATAAAAGTACAGAACTAAAATTTAAACTAAGCTTTAGTTTTACTTTAATAAAAACGCAACAAATATGAAATATGTGGGGCTCCTCGCTCTTTCTTAGAGGATATTGACTTCCCCCAACTCCCTCTAGATCCACCACTACATTACTTCTTCAGTCTCTTTGTTTCGGTTTTGAGATGTGGCGGGAAAATGCATGGCACATTGTAAAACGCGCTTTATCCTAGTCTCCTGGACCAAAATGTTGTAAGATTCTGTGCTTTTAAGAAATAAATATTTCATCAAATTTTTGAAAATTTTCCATAGAAAATGTATTAATATACACGTCATTTCAAAATAAATACAACAAATACCGTATAGGCTGTTTAAAAAGAGAAAGTAAAATTGTTGATTTACAGCGCGGTCTTTGTTTTAGACTATGCCTACATATAACATCGCCGCACTTCAATCATGTCGGAGTTTGTCAATCAGGATTGGATGAAACACTTACCCCCATTATTTATATGATTTTATTTTTATGATTATTGTGCTTTTCGTCAAACATTTAAAAATATCTTTGTTTAATATTCTATAATATGAACGCTAAATATTTTTATTTAAATCGTTCTAACTCCGCAGAAACGCACGTCGACTTCAAACTTTCATATCAAGTAACCGACCGCCTCCTGGCGGCCGGTAATAAAAACCTAGTAATTTTTTACCCTCAAGTTGACCTTTTTGCACTTAAAATTAGGCATTTACCAAAAATAGGACTAGAGGACCACTAAAAAAAATTTTGATGTTGTCATGTGTAAACACTTACTGTACTAAGTCTACATTCAAAAAATAATTAAAATCCATGACATGGGATGTGCCACCTATTGCCTGGTTTTTCGGTGGACTGCCTCTTTAAAAATTTATATGCTATTATACACATATTAAAATTTATGATGAGCGATGTCGGAACCAACTTTTACCACTCTTTTCATAACATAAGTTATAATTATACATAGACTAAGCACAGAATCAAAGCAGAGAGGAGAACAGACAATCCCTCCTTTTCTTCTGAGATTATTCTCATAATTAACACATTGATAAATTTCTTTTTTATGAAAAGGCCACGTCTAAATCTTTTATCTTAACGTATTCCTATACGTTTATATAAACAGTGCCTTTTTATCCAGATGCTTATTTTGTTTGTCAGTTATGGACACCCCCACCCCTAAAGCACATAAATGCAAAAGGATGCCAAAGGCTTGAGCTGGCATATTTGAAAATCATGATTTGATGAATATGAGATATTGGTACATTTACTAAGAATATATCTTAAAAGCATAATTTACATATTATAAATTAATTAGTGCTCTCTCTCTCTCTCTCTCTCTCTCTCTCTCTCTCTCTCTCTCTGGGACATGCGGACTATACGTTTTGATATTTAGACTAAATGAAAATATCAATGTATGAGCAAAATATAAACATCAAAGTGTCCAGTAAACATATACATCTGTAGCTATGTAGACATTAACATTAATCGCTCTACCCAACAATGCTTAATTATGTAATACACAGTATAATGAGTAGGCCTATTATTAAATAAATATACTAAATAGTAATAATGTTATTTATTTAAATTTTTCCACATTACATTTCTCAAAAATTGATATTTTTAAACACCTAGAAATATTTTATCTACAATGATCACGTGTACGAAAAATTACAAGTCCCTATACCGCGCCTTTGACGTCATTTTCTGCACATTGTGACGTCAAGAGAAAAGTTTGATGGCTTGTCAAATGTCGAAAAAAATTAGTAATTAGCCTATAATGGTTATAATCTGGCTACTGTAGAGGGCTTCTATTAAACAATGATCCAGAACAGACATGTAGATGTGGAAAGCATAGACTAACGTGAATACTTTTTTTTCCAATTTTTAAAAATGTTTTTATTTGAACTACTAGGCTAATCAGTAAAAATCTGTTTAGCCTACCATGTTTAGGGGCCTACCATGTATAATTAAAGTATTTAGACTAAAGAAAAAGATTTATATTTCTGTTTATATAATTTACAGCAAATTTTCTTATGATATATTAAATCCTTGCAATGTGATGTTTTTAATGACATGAAATTATATAAGGTAACTTTGCTTTCTGCATGCGCTATATGACAGCGCAACATTTTTTTGATATTAATTTTAAACATGGGGCGGATTCCTCTCGGAGAAAAAAAAATTGTTCAAAAATACGAGTAAGATACCAATGTTTGATTTTATACTTGAATTTTTTTCTGAGAGGAATGCGCCCCACTTGAAATTTTAAAATGAATCTGCAAAATTGGTGAAAAATTCCGGAAAACTCAAAACCATCATAGGTTTTAGACGTTAAGATGAAAAAGCAAACATCTGGTTTGACTAAAACTACCCCCCTGCATCGACCAAGTCAAGTAGATAGGGAAACCACAGATAGTTCTAATAAAAACGATGTTTTATTTTTAAAGAAATTTATAGGCCATATATGGTACTTTCTGACTTTTGTGTGAATATGGGGCTAAGTGCATATTTTGATGAAGAGAGGTGTCTCTTTCAAATTGGTCAATTTCAGGGTCTCTGGGTCAGGGCTACTGTTGGCAGTGGGGTGGGGGTGGGTACATAGTCTGAATATAAATTTATGCTTTGAAATCTGCTCTTTGGTATTAATCAACCATTTGTGATGAAAAAATATTAAATCAAAATTTCCAAAGATTTGAAATATGTGGCCCCAGGGTCATGGGGGGGGGGGGGGGGCTGCACAGCTGGTGGTTATAAAGTGAAAATTCATTTTCTCTTTGTTACTCTAATCTACCTCTGAGTATTAAGTAACCAAATAAAAAGTAAGCATGTTAAGTGTATAATTATTATAAACAATGGTGCCTTTTTCAAAATTGTGAATTTCATGGCTTTTGGTTTAAAACACGAACCAAATTCAATATTGGAAAGTTGTTGCATGATACTCAGGTGACCTATAAGGCCGGTGGGCCTCTTGTATAATGATACATCCCCATCTATAGTATGCATGTAAGATATCCTGGTGCAGCTAAGATTAGATTCTAAAAAATAAAGATAAAGGAAAGAATTTAAAAGACCAAAGAATATATCTTGATTTAGAGTGAAGCTGCTTTTAAATATTCAGAAAAAAAAACCTTTGATCATCTTGTGCATAAAAAAAAATTTTAAAGTGTCTTTTTTATGGATTACAGATGCAATGCTGGTACAAGGGGTGATACATGTGAGGAAATCCCAGATGTGTGTAATGTTATTTCTCCATGTACAGCAATGGGCACATGTCAAAATGCGAATGGAACAGCAACATGTTCATGTCAGAATAGTAAGTAAAAAAAAACATTGTGAGGAGATCAAGAAAGCTGAGTTGATACATACTGTTACACCAGCAGTGCTGAAGTGTGACTTTTACATGTAACATATATTAATATGTCTATATTGAATCAAATATTCATGTCCTTTAGAAATCATAAATTTTGAAATATATGTATTTACACTTCCAATGTCTTTGTCAGAGATAAAATTACAAATAGTAAATGTACTTTATTTCCCCATCAATGTATTGGTTCATCAATAGGCGCGGTTAAAAAAAATCATGTGTAGGGCGGGACAAATAGCTAGACAGAGGCAGTGTTGGAGCACGTGGATTGGCGGAATCAAGAGCATGTAAATATAAGGAATAACTGTCAGATTTTTCAATTTCATGACGATGATCAATCGATTGGCTTGCGTGATAATTTTATGCATAAACGCCTTCGACGTTTATGCAAACTATCAAGCTAGTCAATCGATTGATCACATCGTGTAATCGAAAAATAAGACAGTTATTCCTTAAATAACAACTCATCACTGCTTTATCCAAAAATTAAAACCCCAGAAATTAATATTTTGTCCTCAAGCCATGAAAATTAGATCCCAAAGGTGGATCCAGGGTCAGCCCCCCCCCCCCCCCCCCCGGTTTGAAATTTCTGTATGTTAAATTTTTATATTCATTATCCTAAAATCAAGGAAAAAACATCTTTTATGTGTAAGAACTTGTCAGCCTCCGGACCCCAAAAAGGACATTGGCTTAGACCCACTGGGGGCTTCAGTACAGCCACCAGACCCCCTCAGCCTTCTGCCCCTCCCCCCTCCCCCACCGTTTCGAAATTCCTGGACCCGCCACTGGACCCCACAAAAATAAGTAATTTTGCAGTATTTTAAGGATGTCTATGCTTTAAGATATATCATATATTTTAGATTATACTGGAGATTCATGTCAGTTGTTGGAAGACTTTTGCACAGGAACAACAAATTGTTTGTACCAGGACATGCCTAATACAGGAGGAACATGTACAAATCTGCCAGCTGGAGGCTTTAATTGTGCTTGTCAAACTGGTAAGGGACTTTCTTTTGTTGGTGGAATGTAAAACTTGGTAATAGCGAAGTCACTGGGACCAATGAAATGACTTCAACATATCCGTAATTATTTATATCCGTATAAGAAATTAATTCGTTAAATTTATATAGCTGGGGATCCAAGTTAACTTCGTTATATCTGTGAATTCGCAATATCCGTGTTCGTACAAAACAAGTTTTACTGTCATGTTTTGTTCTGGATTTAAGGCACACTTTCTGGTACCCTTTTAATTTAAAACTATCAACCTAAACTACTAAGTTATTAATTCTAAATATATGAAGGAAAATAATTTAAAAAAAACATTTTATTGTTTATTTAACAGGTTACTCTGGAGGGACATGTCAAACTAAGGTTACCCACTGTTCCACCTTGAACTGTGGATCTATTGCAATGTGCAATGAAGAGATTGGTTGTTATTGTCCAGAGGGAAAAATTCTCACAGATAATAAAGTTTGTAAAAGTATGTACTCGTGTATAAATTAATACATTGGGTAGTTTAAATCCTACAAATTTAATTCCCGACCGTCACTGGTATTGACTAGGGCTATGTCAATATCTCAGTATACCAATATTATCGATATTTAAGAATTTATTGTAATGAAAAATAAAGCAAGTGAGTTAAGGCTACGTATGGGGGTTTCGAAGCAAAAACTCGACAAAAAAAAAAAGACATTTTATAACCAGTGCACATTATGATGTCATACTATGACGTCATCAACCCCTACTACACAAGTTTGTAAGAGACATCAATAAATGGCTTTGGTGCAAGGGCATAACTTACTTTGTTTAACAAAAACAAGGTATGAATAGTACAGTTTTAAAATAGGGTAAAATTTCCCAGTCTAGGGTACGTTTCCTAAACTTTATTTTAAATTCGTGAGTATATGCCCTTGCGCCGACATTGTTTTGTTTATGTGTTTAATTTCCTTGAATGAGGAAGAGTAATGACGTAATAATGTGTACTAGCTTTAAAATGCTGTAGATACCAAGTATGAATAAAAAAAATTGATTTGAACTTTCTCTGTTTATAAGATATACAACTTGTGCATTTTTTTTACCTCATTTGCATAGATATATAATGCCCATATTTAGCCTAAACTCACTTGCTAACGTCCATTATGTAAGTGCATGCAGTTTGTGATAAAATTTCAATCACCAAAGCTTGTACGAGGTTTGTGGAATTTCTTTCTAAAATTTTATCGCGATTTGATGAAAGCAAACAATACGCATATTTATAATATAGAGTCATAATACAACAATATTGGAAAATTTCACCACGTTCCAATGACCAATAAGGTCACATCAGCTTTCAGAAAATGGATAGTTGTAAAACCCGGGGGAGACTTTGACGTAACGTCAGGTTAAGTATGTTACATCACGTTATAGAAGCATCTCACCCTAATGTCCAATTTGAATACGTAATTCAACAAAATGCTGTCCTTTTTTCTATTTTTTTTTTCTCAAGAAAAGCCTGAGTATCCTCATGCACCAAGTTATCCTCATTTTTCACTCATTTTTCAAAATACTCCCCATATTTCCATATCATGTTCCAATTTCAGTAGCAATGTCAAGAACAGTACGTCAGCCAACAACTCTCATTCATGCTTTTAATTTGTCTAGGGGATAAACACTTAAAACAGAGCCTCCAAAAGGCGGCCACACCTTTAATCAATGTCCAATGGAAGTTCTTGTTATCTTAATCACCGGTGTTAGATTGACTTGTCCGGTGTGAAACGGCAGTGTGAGATTTTTCTGTCTTACACTATGTATTACTATGCCGCGAACGATAACGTAAATATTCCTTCTTTATATAAAGAAATTGTTACAATATTAAAAAAATACCATATGTACTTAAAATATTGTCATTTAACTTATTAAAATAAACTTATTTTCATTCAAAATATTGTCGTATTTTTACATTTTAAGTGGCGCTATTTTTAAATTGCGGAAGGATTCTTCTAAAATGAATTTGTGCGCTACAGGATCGATGAGATTTTAATTCCCAGTTTTTATCTTTTTAATTATTTTATATGAACTGAAATTCATTTTTTTTAGTTTACACTGTGTGTAAACCATTTTCATGTACGCTTTTTCCGATGGTGTATTCAGATTTTTAATTAGGTGGAAAATTAAAAGAATATATATTTTTGATAGGCCGTTATTTTGGATAAAATAATGCGAGAAAATAATCATTCATTACGTACACAAGATAAAACAAACCCTTTAAGCCTGGTTTAATGGTGGCTCATAGGTCCTTAATGGTGGTTTAATGGTTGTCTTTAAGTCAGCATTAAGCACCTTTAAGTAACATTTACACCACCATTAAGTTACCATTAAGCCATCTCAAAGTCCTTAATGGGTGCTTAAATGCAGCTTAATGGTAGCTTAATGGTGGCTTACAGGTCCTTAATGGTAGCTTTTAGACCACCATTAAGTCACCATTAAGCTACCATTAAGGTAGACTTACAGGTGCTTAATGTCCAAACTCCATTAAGCTACCATTAAGCCACCATTAAGCCACCATTACACAGTCGATATTACTGTCTTTATTGGTGAAAAATTATTATTTTAGTGATTTGTCATCATAAATTTTTAAATGTCGAGTTCACACATATCTTGATTTGGTTAAAATAAGGAAAAGAAGGAAATTCAAAATTTAAAAAAAAAAAAAAAAAAACCACCACACACGGGGCGCGAACTCATGACCTTTCGAATAGGTGTCCATTGTCTTAACCATTATGCTATTGCCGCTCCTACTATATGCAAGAAAATATGAAACATTTATTTTGCACAAAGTTTGTTTTGGACTTGTAAATTAAAAGTATTTATTTTGTTGAACGTTTCCAAAGTCTTGAATTGATTTATTAATCAAACTATAAACAGTTTTATTTACGGATCTTTTTAAAAAGGCTTACATCACATTAATATTTCTACACCGTTGAGGTCGGTTTTTCAATTGTAATGAATTCTTCGCTCTGTTATTCGGAGATTTATACATCATGTACATGTAAGCATTAAATCATGATTGAAATTAAATTTATTATAGATAAAACACAAAAAATCTATCATCGGGAAAATTAAAATTTTATTTTAAATATTCTGCGGATATTAACGGTTTTTGTGTCTAAAATTTAGGCCTAGTGACAATCCTCGTTTACGAGTTACCTGGATATGTTTACAAAAACTTTTTTTGGAATATCATATTTAGTTAAAATTCTTTTTGTATCATAATGGGTATCAAAATAATTGTCCTTTTACAAAAAATGATAATTTTTATATTTGTTATATGCTTGCGTTAAATTTAAATTTTGTAAAAATAATTGATCATCAAAATTTGTTAGTGTAATTGTGTATGTATAGTTTCCTGTTTGTTGACCGGGGACGGTGGACACCTAATTAAGGTCTATTGTCTAACCAGTCGGTATACTGTACGCTGTTAATCTCATCCCGTTTCCCAATGTGTATAAATCTGGACGGATGTCAAGTTAATCTGATCGGCTGTTCTTCTGAAAATCGATTTTGAAATAACAATCATTGATTAAGACCGACTAGATTTTGACAGATACTTACCGCTGCATTATAAAAAAAATAACGAATTAATTCAAATTATTCATGATGTAAAAGTCAATCTTTGAAAACTAAATATTTTTTTTATACCTGTAGCCCCAGCCCCTCCCCCCCCTCCAAAAAAAAGACAGAATTTTTTTTTCATGAGAACATGACTTTATATTTCTGTGAATTCTGTAGCGGAGTGTTGCTTTTAACACGTGAAATAAAAATACCAGCTTTTTTTTTTTTAAAGTAGTATATATTTTTTGTTCATGGATAAAGATAATTTTAAGAACAAATTGATTTTCGGTTGTGAAAAATTAAGATATTTCACAGGGGGTTTCCCCGGCGTGTAATAATATCATTATTTATTTTTTTAAAACAAAAATCATATACACTAATAATAAAAACTACGTTTGTAATTATTATTTATTTTTTTAAAAAATCATATGCGGTAATACACATGTAAGTTAAAACGTCTTTTTTATTGATACTGTAAATGATTAAAAAAAATATTAAAAACCGGGAGCAAGCACCTGTGGCTGTTAGCTGCATGTAACTTTATTCTCAGTGCCCGAGATTTTGCATGTTGAAAGAAATGTTATATACAAAATTATAGATCACAAAAAAAAAAATAGATTTTGCGTAATTGACATTGAAATAACTTTAAAAATTAGATCAAAGATTCGAAATAAGATGCGTAAAAGTTTAATGAGGTTTGACCATTAAGTCACCATTAAGCTCGGCTTAAAAGTGGCTTAATGGTAGCTTAATGAAGTTTGGACATTAAGCACCTGTAAGTTGCAGCTTAATGGTGGCTTAAAGGAGTTAACTTCTTTAAGCACCATTAAGTCACCATTAAGATACCATTAAGCGATGGCTTAAAGGTGGTCTTTCGTCTTGTGGTACTCGTGTGACAAAGCCTCGTCCTAGACCGTGAGTCTTGTCCCCTCTGTGGAATTTCACTATCCCACACTCGTAGTAATGAATGATTCTATTATTCTCAAATTTCTTACACCGCTGGAAAACCAGTAACTTAATGCATTTTCCCCCAGCCTATGTCAACAATATACACCTTAAAGATAAAGTGATCCCAAGATTTTCACAAAACGTATGACTTGACCAAAGTCTAACAACTTAAATATGAACAATAAATCATCAACTAATAAACTAAATATCCAATAAAATCAGCAAATATCTCACACAAAGGTTATAAAAGATCAAGCAATCGTAACAATGACACATTTTTCGTTTTATATAATACCACATAGGGTGGTTTTATTCTCATTTCATGTATCAAGAATTAAAATGACAACAAGCAAATTCAAGGAATTGTGGTCCCCCGCTTTCGGTGTCTTTGTGGGTGAGATGTCATTCTTTATGACATATTGTGTGTAATATGAACACCCTATCATGTCATTTATTAAGAAATCATCACTGAACTCAAAGGTCAAAATCTTTGTATCCAATGAAAAGTCTTCTCGCAAGGATTACATATGTGAAGTATGAAAGCCCTAGCCCTTACCATGCAAAAGTTATGGTCAAGGTTAAAGTTTTTTCATAAGTACAAAAATCTCCAAGGTCAAGGTCAAAAGGTCAAGGTTTTTGATATCAAATGAAAGGTCTTGCCACAAAGAATACATATGTGAAATATGAAAGTCCTAGTATCTATTGTTCAAAAATTGTGGCCAAGGTCAAAGTTTTTGAAAAATGTAGGTCAAATTCCAAGGTCAAGGTCAAAGGGTCAAAGTTCTTGTATCCAATGAAAGGTCTTCTCATAAGAATTACATATATGAAGTATGAAATCCCTAACCCTTACCGCTCAAAAGTTATGGTCAAGATTAAAGTTTTTCATAAGTACGTAAATCTACAAGGTCTAGGTCAAAAGGTCCAAGTTGTTGGTATCCAGTA